ACCTACCTACCTACTACTACTACTACTACTACGTACGTACTACTATTACTAATTAATAACTATACGATACGACGACGTACACTCTCTCGTCTCTCTCTCTCTCTCTCTCTCTCTCTCTCTCTCTCTCTCTCTCTCTCTCTCTCTCTCTCTCTCTCACATATTGACTGTATTGTCCTTCTTGACAAATCCCATTTTCTTCTCCCAATTAATTTCGTTCTTGAGTAAGAAATGGAAAATGGGAAAAATGACTCTTCAAACACTTCTTATGCTCTTTAGACATATGCATAGGAAAAAGGTGTCAAATGAGAACAGACAATACTTATAAACAAAAACCACATGAGAACCTAAATAGTCAATAAATGTACAAATATATGGACTGAATGCTAGCTAATAAAATACACATATAAATATGAAGCCCCTGCTCTACCAAAAGGCCAACCATACATCTCAAATGTCATGCATTTCTTCACAAAATGTGCTCCAACTCAAAACTCTCTCTCTCTCTCTCTTACATACACATTACCCCACGGGAAGAGCAATCTCACCTAATTTTCTCAAAAAACCAACACATAACGAATATACATACACATCAAACAGGGCCCCATGAGGAAGCTGAGGTATCATTATGAGAAGGAAGAAGAAGAACCCTTGCACTCAGCTCACTCAAGACGGTTGCTGCTGCCTCTGAGCACCGTGTGGCGCCACTGGCCTTGGGAAGTTCGGGAACTCATTGGGCATGCTTGTAAACTGCGGCACCTCCACATATGGGCTCTGAAAATATAGCACATTAATCACTCTAGAGGTCCCCGGACTTCATAATGAACAATAAAGGGAAATATAAAATATCTATAGAACTTCCAAAGATGCATTATGTGAAGGTAAAATAGAAAATTGAATGCCAAAAAGAAACAAAAAAACAACACGAGAGGGGAGAGGGGAGAGGAGCGGCGAGGTGGATCGATCCTAGCTATGAAATCAAGACATTCATCAGGATAGAAAAGTAACCAAAATACATTCAATATTATTTCCAAAGTATCACAATTAAGTTGAGTATATTGACACAAGGTGGTCATAATTAATCTTGACCATTGGATGGGTGCATTTATTCCATTGACAAAGCTCAAACTTCAAACGAAATTTTCTCGAACTTTGTGACATACCCAAGCTATCAGATTTCACATCAGATAGTTGTAACTAATTGTGACCTTGTATTAAAGATAACTGGTCTCATTGTATACAATCCTTTTAAGTTACTTAGAAAGGAGCAATACCTGGGACGTAAGAGGAGATGCAAAAGTTCCAGGTGGAGACTTTGGTGATGTATCGGGGGAACTGCCCTCATTGGTGTGTCCGTTCAGCTTAGGGACACTATTACTCAGTGTAGCATCTCCATCGCTTCCACTGGCTGATTTTGCCCCCTGAAAAGTAGAACATCTTTAGAGGTTCCATAAAAGTACATTAGTATAAAAAGCACATAACTACAGGAGAGAAAAGTTTCTTATTTGTAAGGTCTTTCTTCTTTGGGTGAAAAGCTATGGGATGGGGCCAGTTAATTAGTTTGTCAAAAAGACAACATAAAAGTTAGGGAAAAGACACCTGAAATATCTTTCCAAGAGTTTTCAAGCCCTTTGCACGAGCTCGAAGGTCCTCTTTCTTGACCGAGTTGTCTTGAAGCACCTGCAATCAGACAATACTTTTTTATTTTGCTTTTTTTTCTTTTATTTTAGTTCATTTCGCGCAATCCAACAATATTCACTGCCACATTTAGCAACAATCTGCTCAACTCAGAATGGGGAAGAATACCACAACCCAAGAGAGTATTATGGCATATCGAACTCCAAAAGAGCCATTTACCGCTTATGATGGTGGACAGTGGAGATTAACTTTAGTGGTGCCCATGAGAACAGTCGAAAAGGCCCATTTAATCTGGACTGGAGTACCTTGACTCTAAATCAAACGCGGTATAATTTCCCTTTTAAGCAATTTGCTGCAAAAGTAAAAGAATGAAGAATGAGACACACCATTTGACAAACACGGGATAGAGTAGCTTCTATATCAGCAACATTGAGCTTCCACAAAGAATCTATCATCAGTTTCTTATTAGACTGCAAATATGCTTCGAGTTCTTCCTCCGTATAGTTCCCTTCTGCACTAAGCTGCCGCTTCATGTCCTCTTGAAGCTGAAGCAGAGCAAAGGCACCTGTACCAATGCCACACACCAAAGCTCTTTGATATCAGAATAAGCTTCGTGCTGATCATTTGGTCATCATGATCCAGTACTGCAGCCTCTTCCTACACACCATTCTGAAACAAATGAGCAACACAAGCATACCTGTTGCAGCTGTCACTTGAGATTTGATGAAGTGGCCCTTATTTCTGAACCATTCAGCAACAAATGGAACCCCTAAATATATGGCTTTCTTCCCAAGTTCTTTTGCTGCCTGTCTGACATATATGTAGCCAATTGTGTTCAACATATCACCGCCATAAGCTGTTTAAAGAATGAATTTATATTATTCGATTATACCAGTAAGGGACAGAACATGTGAAACCATGTAAAACGATAATAAATGGCACGAGAATATTGACAAACTGTTAAAACAGATATGACAGCGAAGTGCCAAATCGGGTGAGGAATACACCACAATAGGAAGAGCCCATCTACTATGTTTTTAGAAATGAACTATCCATCTTCTGAATTAGGTCAAACTAGAAGAACTCAGATCCCAGATCTCCAAATATGTACATAAACTCTCTGCAACTACTAGGATATCAGGCTGATTGACAACCATCCATCATAACATAGTGAAAGGAAGATGTGTATTTTACCTGCATTAGAGAGCCTTGTTACTTCAGACTGGGCATGACTAATAAAACCATCCTTGTCACCTTGGACATACTGATTAAGTCGGTCTTTCAATATTTGTGCAAGTTTTTCTTCTCTTTCTTTTTGTACAACCTGATTTGCAAAAAGAAATAGTCAAGACAAACAAAAGGACTGAGAAACAAAAGAAGATGCAATGCACTTCCAAAACCTAAAATAAAAGAGCAAAGCAATAAAACAACCAGCAGGATGACCAAAAAAAATATGATAGAATCTGTCGTTGATTTCCTTAAAGATCCATGTTGAAGTAAAGGGGTCTCAAAGCTGTGTTCCGGGTATTTCTTTCAAAAATTTATTTAAAAGAGAGAGAGAGAGAGAGAGAGAGAGAGAGAGAGAGAGAGAGAGAGGAAAAAAGTGGACGGTTCTAACCCTCACCATCAATTCGGTGAAAGAATTACATACAAGATTTCAGGTTACAACATTCATCAGCAGAAGAAGATAATAAAAAAGAATAGATCTGTTGCTTCCGATTTTGCTCGTGATAAAAGACAACAACACATAATTTCATAATAATTTTGCTCGTGATAAAAGACAACACAGAATTTCATAATAAGCCACCCATGCTGCAATAGAATATTGAATATGTTTCACAAAAAAAAAGACAAATATACGAAGTTTTTCATTCCTAACACAAAAATTCAGTATGTTTATCAGTTGGGCCTCCAAAACATTACATTGCCAAGTTTGGTCCATTCATCAATGCTGTTTTTGAGTCATAACAGCATATGAAGGGACATAAAAATAAAACAAGCAAAGATAAAAGCAATAAGCAACTATATTTAATCAAATGCAAGATAAAAGCCAGGAAAAACTGGAATTTTAAAAGCCCTGTGGTACTAATACAGCAATTTGTAGGGTCAAGTTTCAAAAAACCACAAATCCGAGGAATCAAGGAATCATTCTAATGAACCAGGGCAAACGGTTCAACTCCTTACTGTCATAAATGAGCAACTATTATCAGATCTTCAACATTTGATCTAAGGGAGAAGACTTATATTGCGAGTGCTCAAACAGAGCATATACACATGTATCACATGCATATGTATATCAATATATGTGCATATATCAATATGCACTGCATGCACAAGGTGAAATAACATAGAAAAAGAAAACACCAAACTCCTATATGTGCATGTGGGTGCATAGTTATTCTCAAATGGTATCATTATAGCACAAAACAAATGCTATCAACACTAAATCCATGTACATGAACATCTATTGATATAAACTCACAGTCTAATACATCAATTAATCCCTGAAACATCCAAACTGTGCTTCCAACTATAAAAGCCAATGAATGACACTAAATCAAGTCAGATGACAAAATGACATATTAAAAGGAGAAAATCCCCAAGAACAATACCCTCATTTTCTCTTGAATTTTTTTGGCATCGACTTGTTCACCCTCTACGAACAGATCAAGTGAGGCCATTGAAGCCATTGCAAGCTGCCCTATGTAGTCCTCAAAAAGCTCACTCCCAAAGAGCATCGCAAACACTGCTGCCGGATCAATAATTGCTTCCCTGTATCACAAGAAGACAATATCTGAGGTCTTTTATAATCCTTGTAATCAGAAGAACATTGGGCATACTTCCAAATGTCAAAATTTCACAAAACGTCACACACACATGTGACTAACCATCGTCATCATCATGCAAGCCCGCCCTATCCCAACTATTTGGGGTCGGCTTCACAAATCTTGTTACGCCAATCCGCTCTATCAAGGGCCATGCCTCAATCAGACCCTTAAGGACACATGCCCTTGCATGTCCATAATGCATTAGTTTAAAGTTTTGAACAAGATCTCCATTTAATTGGGATAAGGCTTGGATGATGATGATGATGGTACTCTGTTTAAAATTTTGAACAAGAAAATAGTAGTTCATAATCCAAAATAAAAAGAAGGGATATTAAGTTCCTTAAAAGACCAGTTTGCCAGAAACAATCAAATAAGAGCAGAAGACTTACTGTGAAATGCCTGATTTCCCATAAGCATCATAAGCTACTCTCTGATTTGGATCACTGAGAACTTGGTAAGCCTCGCCCAGAACCTGAATCCACAACATGGCCAGTTAGCTTGAGCCTTTTAAAATAGAGCTTCTATATGAATGTTAGTGTGAGAAGACCAATGCTTCACTACACATATGTAAAGAATCATAACATTGTAAACATACACCCTCAATCAAATCATACCTTCCTGTAAACCAAAGAAGAAATTTTTTAAAATATATATTGTTAACCCAAAAAAACCATATGTATAAATCTTATTCATAACTATATGAAATGCAAGATTTTCGCTTTCATTTTTCACTTCATTCAGCTGACTTTCATTAAAAATGAAAATAACCAGCCACATTTAACAATTCCTCTAGTCATATTGTCTTCTCCAACCGAGCAAAGATAGTTTAAGGCAGTAAAAATTAGAATAGTATCTCCAATTCCTCTAGTCATATTGTCTTCTCCAACCGAAAGGCAGCAAAAATTAGAATATTATTCCAACTTGAGATAATTACACATGGTAATTTTGCTATTAAAGACACAATGCCAAAAACATTCAAAACTAAAACTAAACAGTTTGTTCATGACCCAAAGAAGAGATCATCTTTTTGCTCACAATTAAAATTCACAAAGAATGGGAGAATCCATGAAACAGAACAAGGATAGTTGCATGCTACCAGCAATGGAATTAAATGGTACAATGGTATTTGATATAAATTTGGGAACCAAATAAGAGGTCCTTTATGGTGACTCATACTACAACTGCATGAAGGTGCCCAAAAATATGTAAGTTGACAGTGGCAAAACATGAATAATGAAATTGGCAACCAACCATAGATCATGTGCATGATAGTGACTCCACATTTAAGAGAATCCGTAAATGATCAATCACCAATATCCAACAAAGAAGGTTTCTTTTTATTCCACAAAAATATCAAATATAGAAAATTTCAGCATTTTAAGCTAGAAACAGGTTCATCACAAAGAAAATATCAAGGAAACAAAAGTATCATTTCAAGTGCTTCCAATTATACCAATATTATATCAGGCATGAATAAAACTGGAACAATTAGATTTCCCAATTTAAAAACAAAAAAAAAGCAAAATGCAGATTCCATAAGTTGGAACAAAATGAAATTAAGGATGAGATACTTTACTGCAGGGCATTAAAAGTTCTAAGCAAGTTCTAGTGCTAACCATTCAGACCTCAGACTAGTGCTAAACCATTCAGAAGTCATTCGCTCAAGTTATATGATAATTATTGCATATACTCGTTTAATTAGCACAATATTTTAAAAGCGAGATATACCTGAAAGTTTTGTGCAGAGAGAGGATCATTTGGATTTTTATCTGGATGGACCTGCCTTGCCTGCACAAAGAAAAATGAGCTCATGTACAAGATAAATCGAGACTATAATAAGCATGAAATCACAATGATAGCAAGTAGATACAACTTTGAAATGCAGATAGAGAATCCTTTAGATATACCAAAAAAAAAATCCTACATCAGTCCCTGAGGGTTTAATACCCAAATATTGCACTAACCTAAACCTGCTAAACTTCTAGTCATGGGTACTTGCATATGCCTAATGTATTGGTGTCGTAGTGTGTTGATACCGATAGTAATACTGGATACTGTTAGGATACTTGAAAATATAAACTGTATAACTATAAAGGATATAGCACATAAAATAAATAATATGCATTCTGCTATAGCATATCGATGTACATCCACATGTTGGATGCATATATTTCTGTATCATACAAGCTATAATATGTAGTTATATTCATATCACATGCTACACTTTGAGAAAGGTAGAGTTCTATCCCTGCTCTCCATATCCATCGCCACATCCACATCTCTATCAGGTCACCAGTGCTTCTAATACTAAAGAACTTGGAATTGATCTCAAAAAGTATTCCAAAACATCATTTAAAAAGTATGAAGGCCATTTTAGCAATTGGATTTAATGTATCATCAATGTAAATCAGAGAGGCTTATGGTATCTGAAAATTTCTCATCCAGTCAACTAAGTATCCAACCAAAATCATGTAAGATCACTTACCATATTCTACTACTTTTGAAATTTTAATTTAACATCTTGAATCAAACAGGTCCTAGACCATGAAGGTCACTCCCAAATTTGAAGCTGCCCATACTCTGCCAGATTTTTACAGTAATTCTTCAACCAGTTCAATTGCTACTCCACAAAAACCATACTGTTCAACAAATTCTGTAATGCTAGCATTAAAACCAAACGAACTCATTGAACTTCTCTAAAATAGAACATCTCGTCAACCCATATTTTTTACCAGGAGAAAAAACAAAAACTAGCATAAGACAAAAAAGTAGTTTCTTAAATTGTAAAACCATTAAATCACTGAACATATTCAGTAGATGCCAGAGAATATATCAAATTAATCAGGATCAGGGCTCTTGGCACAGTGATGAGGGTGGCGGGGCCATAACGTTATCTCAAGAATTCCAGTCCTACACCGTTAACATTGAAGTAATTTAGAAACTAATCAGAATCATAACCATCTTGGCCGAATTCAACCAGAGATATAGAGCAACTAGTAATTTTATAAATAGTTTTACACTTTTACTGCTCCATTGGGGAAAAAATATATACATAAAAACACCTAACCAAATTGCTTTTAACACACATAACTACCACCATCAAACAGGTGGACCCATCCTAGCTGTTCCTGATCAACACAGATACCTGCTCCATGTTCCATGGGCTCCAATACTCCATCATAAATTAGGGAAAAAAATTAATTTGACGTAGTCTTAATGCCCTAAGGGATCCAATGCTTCATCTTAAATTTAAAAAGTAAATAAATAAATAAAACGAAAGCAAAATAAATAAATAAATAAGCAAATTTGACAGAGCATCAGACCATCCAGAAAAGAAAAATACCGTCTTTCCTCCACCAAATAATCTCAATGGTTTAGTTATCACTACTGGACCAGTTCTAGTCGTAATCCCTAACCCTAGGGGTTCAATATCCTCTTTCTCTATCGATATATAATGAATTGCTCATCTAACACAATAGAATTATGGATTACTCCAATAAGCTCAAGATCCTTTAAAATTAAGTTGAAATATAACTTGTGCCAAAATAAATAAGGAGAGAAACTTGCATAAAAGTTTACTGAGTCTCTATCGATAGACAATGAATTGCTCATATAACAAAATAGAATTACAAATTACTCGAACAAGCTCAAGATCCCTTAAAATTAAGATGAAATTTAACTTGTGCCAAAATAAGTAAGGAGAGAATCTGGCCTAAAAGACTACTGACTCATTCTAATTGAAAATGGAACCAGAAAAAGACGAATTTGAAATCCCCCGGTATTTCACGATCTGGAACTATTAGGAGAAATGAGAGAGAAAATTCACAGAAACTGAGTAGGCATTGATACCTTGATGTAGTAAGCTTTCTTGATATCTGCTTCTGTAGCGGTTGGGCTAATTCCCAGCACATCGTAATACTCTGTTTCCTTTACCATTTCTCTAAGATGCCCTTCCCTTTCAATCCCTGAATCGAAACCCTAAACCACAGAGTAACCCTAGAAGAAGAGGAAGAAGAAATGGTTCAAAGAAGAGAGAGGCAACGGACTAGTTGATGATTCGAAGCTAGCCGTTCCTGTGCCGCAGGTAAAAATAGGCGTAGAATTTAGAGAGAGAGAGAGAGACGAGAAAGAGAGAAAATAAAAGGATTAAAAAGAAGTGCCGCGTTTCATTTATCGGCGCTCTCCACGCTGACGACCCGTGCCGCCTCTCTCTCTCCCCTTCTCTCTCTGAAGTCTGAACATATTCCAGATGTTCATTTGATTTGATATTTTATGAAATGAGTTTATGCTTTCACGGTGGAGCATATTGTTCATTTCGGCGATATTCATAGGTTCTCAAATTTTCAGGACGTACTAAAGGTTTATATATATGCGTTCTCGATTGGAGATGGTTTGATGGGCATGCAGCCCTATCAAAATAAGTAAAGCCCCACTACAAAACTCTTTCGAAATCGAATAGAAAACCTTTAAATCGATCCTGGCTTGGTCGTAAAAAAAAAAAAATAGTATTATTCCAAACTCTAAAAAATGTATATATTTTAACAAATTCTTTAGAATGTTTATTTTTTCTTAAAAATAAGTATTCAAAGATCCACAAGATCTGTTATTTTTTTTAGTCTTAAATTTATTGCCGGACTTAAAAATTGATTTTAGAGCCTAAATATTTATGTTAGTGAAAGTGCGTTGTAGACAAGAATTTGAGATGAGATTTTATTTGGTTTTTATAAAACTTGGGTCTTATAGAGACTTCATCTTTTAAAAAAATGTGAAATGATATCATGCTCTAAGGGGTATGCTTCTTATAATAAATGCTAAGCTAGGAGTATTTTTGGAACTTAGGAATTTCAGGGATGCAATCTCTTGAACCTAGCAACTAGCCGCGACAGAAAAATAAATAAATCAAATTGCTAGTTTAATGGCTGCAAAAATAACCCATGATTGCGCAAGGAGCACATAACTCTTGGAGAGTAAGATCCAAGTATTCCACAACTCAAAAGCCAAATTCCTTTCTGAAAAGGGAAATAATTATAATTTCCCGTTAGATGAACTGTTTTTTGAAATACTCATCAAACGATAGATGATCGTATGTTGGTATAGTTCCACGTAAAATGTTGAATAGATCATCTCTTACAAGTATTTTCATAAATTTTCAAAAATTTTTCTTTTTGAACATAACCATTCCGACATGGATCTCAAAAAAAATAAGAAAGAAGGGGAATCTCCCACTTGGCTCTTTTGCCCAAGGGGGTTAATGTACAGTTTGCTCCTGCAAGAGCGATATATGCCAATCCTCAAAAAAGTGAAGGGAGATGCACATACGTTGCCGACCTTTTATCAAATACACGCAACTTTTAAATAATTTAACATTCATCAGTTTTCAACATTTTTTTTTTTTTTTCTTTTGACAAATACTGATAATTGAAAAAGGTTCACGTGCTAAATCATTCAAAAGTCCGGTACATTTTCAACTCTTTCCAACCCATGGTCGTGTATATTTTGACAGGTATTTAAAAATTACGTCATAAGAGAAAGTAAAATGTTAAAGGACATAGGTTTCTGTAAGTCCATGTAGAAATGAGTCACCTATTAAAAATCTATTTTTGAGATGGCTTTTTGGATTTTACGACATGTAATTTGTTACATCGAGATCATGAATATGAAAAAACAAATAAATTTTATAAATTTAAAATAATAATTCTGTTAAAAAAACATTTGGACAGTTGATTTCAACTATTTTTAGATTGACCACCTATTTGCACCCATCTTACAAAATGGATGCTTTACACCTCGGGACCGCAAATGTAGAAATGTGGTCCCGCTGCATGAAATAATTTTCCAAATGTTACATAGGGTGGACCGCATCTTAAAAATGAGAAATTTATAGTTATTTTGTGAAGAAGCAAATGTGCAATATGATCCTGATTGAGGTGATAACACGATTTGTATTTGAAGAGGTGTGGACCCACCATAGAGTTCTTCTTTTATTTATTTAAGTTCTTGTACTTTTTTTCCTTAAAAGAAAAATCTTGCTTATTATGTTGTGCTTTTTACGACCCAAGTGCCGGGTCAATGGCATAATATATGATATACCCTCTATAATCTTATGCCTTGCTCTTCGAATACAAAATTTAAATGGCTTAATATATCTTCTATAGTCTATCATTGTTATTATTATTATCGTTGTAGTTGTTGTTGTTTTTTTATTATTTTTTATCTATTAACGTTGGGAGTGGAGTGTGGGACGTTATGTTGAGGCATCAGCTCCAACTACCCAAAATAAGTTAAGGCCAGTTAAATAAGACTAAGACACCACTCACAAATGTAGACTATTATAGATTCTAGGTCATAAAATAGAAGACTTAACTAAGAAGCATTTTAAAAAAGATGAGCGGCTCGGAATTGCTGAAATAGCTCGGAACTGGTGGGGTACTTGTCTGGGCTTGAAGCCTCCCCGGTTTTGCCCAAATTGTTGCTAGTATTTCTATTTTTTATAATGTTTTTTCTTTTGTGGAATAAAACTTACAGAATTGGCGAACTGGCTCTCGCAGTTCTAAACTTATAGAACTGACAAACTGGCTCTCGCAGTTCTAAACCTGCTTAAAACTTGTGGTGACCGGTTCATCCCACTAATCCGGTTTCTAAAACACTATAACTAAAAAACTAGAAAGGCCTTTACAATATGGTGCATTTTTTGTATTTAAGGTGGTTTCACGATATTCAATAAAACTACATACGATAACCATGTCAGAAAATTCAGCCTTAGCATCACATACCCTTGTACTGGACTGGCCAAAAGTAGTGCAGATTTGATAAATATGTAAATATTTCAAATGAATGGTAACCTAATTTTTTGAGTTTTGCTTCAAAAACATTCTCTGGATCTCATGGATTTGATTTTTATCACAAAAAATAATTGAATTTCTTTTTTTTTTTAGAGTATTTGGATTGATATATACTAATCATCTTCTAAATAAATTATTATTGCTATTCAAGTCGGACTTTTGTCAGACTCACAGTTAATCAGGGACTCTCAATTTGGGTCTGGCTTTTCGAATTCTTGTTCCATCAAACTGGGTTTCATCATGCAAACATTTACAAAATGTTTATTTTGATTGATGGATTTTATCGTCATATCTCATATGGAAATTTATTAAAAATACGTAACTTCTAAAAAATTCAACATTTTACCCATTTTCAACTATTCCAACTTGTTATCATGTGTATTTTGATGAGTATTTTGTAATTAAATCAAACGATATGATGAACATGTTAAATAGTTGATATCTTTGGTGTATTTTGATACCCTTATAAGATATGTTAATATTTTCAAAATCATTCACGGTTTCAAAAATTCAACGGATACGTAGATTCGTTTAAGTATGCATGTACATGGATGCCCTGCATCATCCTCTTAACCAATTTATCCAGCATTTGGCTTAAAAGTAGAAACCCTACCCATAATAAGGTCATTTACCTTTGATAAAAGGTGGTCACAATTATTTACAACCATCGGAAGTGAAATTTGATACAAATTCGAAAAAATTTCTATTGAAGTTTTAGCTTAGTCAATAGAACAATTTGCAGCCTCCCAATTTCATATCCAATGGTAAAGATTTATGTGACCATATTGTACTCAAGGTAAATGGTATCAGTCTATACTTTCTTGTTGATTATTGTATCATAATAGGAATTTATACTTTTGCCGATTTTAAGGTTTATGGATAGTTGGGATGTCTCTTTTCCTCAATGGGTGTGCCATCGTGGGTAAGTAATTTTCATTTGGGAAAATTATTGACTTCGATACAAACTATTTAATATTTTTACCAAATTGTTTGTTTTTATTCAAAATACACATGAAAAGGCACATGATCACGAGTTGAAATAGTTGCAATTGTGTGAAATGTTAAATAACGTATCCCTCATGGATATTTTGATAATTTTTCCTTTTTATTTTATAAAATAAAGTAACTGGCAGAAAAATATTACTTACATGATTTTAAAAACTGTCGATCAGGATTAGAATAATCGCTCCACATCACGATCGCCAGTTGACTCATTTGTTTCCCTCCTAGAATCAATAATCCTCCTTCATCTCTCTAATTTTTCAAATATTCCATGCGTGATGCGTAATTAATTTTTTGATGATTTAGAGTTCATTTCACCAAAGAAATATGTGAAAGGTTGTTTTATACAAATTATTTTTTTCTTTCGTTTTAAAAAATTGCGCTGGATCACCGATTTGGCCCAACTGAATCACCTTATTCGGTCTATCGGAACCTGTCCAGACCAGGCCGATCCGAGTTAAAACGTTGGGTTTTGATAAATCATTGCCTAATGAGATTTTAATAAGCAGTACGAACCTTACAAACATTTAAATTTATGGAATGTGTATCCAAATCAATATCTGTCCTTTTTTTTTATTACTAAAAGAACATTGGGTTTCACTCATTTGACTTCTTGTTCTTATTTTCCATTTTCCCGTGTTTTATGTGGACTCTTCATGCTTGGACTGTAACTTCATATTTGGAGTCATCATACTTCGTGTTTCCTGTGTAAATTCCACTTGGAATCTTAACTTTGGACTATGATGGATTAGGTGAGAGGGACATGAAGGACTTCCTCTTCTTTCTCTTTTTTTTTTTTTTTTTTAAGGTAATTCAGTGGGGGAGAGCGGCCCCTACCCCTTTTTCTTCGTCCCTTCTCTTTGAATTTATGTAAAAAGATATTATGCTTTTGGTGGATCATATTGTCCATTCATTTGTTCGAGTAAAAATCGGGATGTGTATTCCTCACCTAAAAAAAATAAAAAAATCGTTCGTACTTGGTAAAATATTTTGTACCCAGTTAGTATTTTGAAAGTCATAGATTTGGATTGGGAATCATTGATCTGGATTGGGAATCACTGATCTGGATAAGAAATTGGTGGAGACTTACCCTTTTCCTAGTTGGAACTAGGAATCAATCCTATTTTGATAGAACCCCTCTGTTTTGTTAGAGAACAAGCTAGTCTGTATGGGAATCAGGAGATCTAGATTGGCTGAATTATTGAACACCACCTATTTTATTTATCTAATATTATCTTTGTAATTTTTAATGTTTTCAATTTTTATTATTTAACTTTTTTTTGAAGCGATTCTCACACTAGAGAATTGGTCCAATCTGATTTGAATCAACAATCGGGATCAGTCGAGCAGGCCACCCCCCCGCCCACGCCCCCGCCCCC